TTGGCTTTCAATTTTATTTCAATTGCTCAACAGCAGAGTACAAACATCATTAAAACAAACAAACAAACAAACAAACAAAAAAACAAGGAGTTTCAGCAGCCCATCAGGTACACACACACACTGTGTCCTATTAGGTCTGTATTGCTGCTTCCTAGCTTTACCGGACTAACAGCACAACCATACTCAATTAGGGTACCGGGTTTGGTTTGTATGTTGTTTTGCAAATATTTTTCCAACATCAAAGCTGTACAACGTCAGGAAAAGAGTTAATAATCAGTTCCTTCCCTCTGATGAAGCACAGTGGCCCTCATCTCTTTTCCACTCTCTTTGTGACTCACACCCCCTCCGAAGGGATAAGCCAGGTATGCAGGTGTTAACTTTGTGCCCTATTTAAACACTCCCAGAACTTTCTGATGTAGATACATAGAACATCTCAAAAGTATCTGCTGAGGACTACCGCACAAAGCTGTTTTCTTTCCCTGTTTAAACCAATGCTTGGTTGGAACAATGTATCTGACGCCTAGGCAGCAAAACACCTATCGTTCTCAAAGGAGCCTCCTCCCTTCTCCAGCCAGTTCCCGGGCCTCCTTAAGACAGCTCCTGGCAGGCTGCACAGGCTGGAAAAAAAGAGGCTATTTCCACCAACCCCTATCATGCATAATAGCATGAGCGTGGAAGCAGAAACGAAGAGGCAGTTCTGGGGCCAGATATTTACTTTCCCTGCATGAGTGACTACAAAGACCACAGCCTGCCTCTGCAAGCTGGCGTTCAGATAGAAAGATTACCAAGTGTCAAGCGTGGACATCCCACAAGCCTGTAGGCTTACACCAACTCCCTGAAATAAAGCCAACCACAGGTGCCCAGACCCCAGGTCCTCTCACACTGCATTCTCCCTGAATTGTCACTGCACGTCACTCTGGCAGAGGGTAGGACAATGTGGGAGGCCGCACTGTTCCTCAGTGTCTGGGAAGGGAATTCTGGACATTCTTTCCTAGTTCTCGTCCTTTCTATTTTATGTGGATGGATGTTTTACCTGCATGTATATCTGTGGACCACATGCATGCCTGGTGCCCTCTGAGGTCAGAAGGGGCATAAGATCCTCTAGAACTGGAGCTGTAGCCACATGGTTGTGAGTTGCCATGTGGGTGCTGGGTACCGAACCAAGGTCCCCTGGAGAGTAGCCAGAGCTCTTAAAGGCTGAGCCAACCCTTCAGCACCCTTCCCCACAGTTCTCAAGGGAAACACTCAGCAGATGTGTTATGGTTTGGAAGACTGCACTTAAATATAAAAGTGCAAACAAAATAAAATCAGCTTAGAGTTTTAATCCAAACAGTAAGCTCACCTTGACTATTCTCATCCAAATTTCAGCTACAAAAGTTCCAGACTAAAGAGCAAACCAGTTAATTTCTTCCATACCTGCCATTCTACCTACCCTACTAGGTACAGACATCTTTGATGACATTGATAGGCAACCCGGATAGCCATTTCTGCAGGGGACTTAGTCATTCACCTGTTTTATGAGCCCTCAAATCTGTTGTTAGTTCAAGCGCTCCAGGAGATGTAGCTTGGGCATTCCCAACCTCCGCATGAACCAAGAGAGGACACCCAGAAGAACATCATAAGGACTGTGGTATCCAAACGCGGCTAGCATCACCTCTCCAGGGGCTTCGCTGTCTTCTGAGACCAAGCCTGGCAACCTAGCTCAGCAGTGCTTCCATGTTTTAAAGGGATTTTTAAAATGATACTTTTATGTTAATTTTCTTTCTTTTTAAATTTATTTTGTTATTTTGTGTGTATGAATGCTTTGCTTGCATGTTCATCTGTGCAACATATGTGAGCCTGGTGCCTAAGACAGTGGTGAATTTCCATGTGGGTGTTGAAAATCGAACCTGGGTCTTTCACAAGGACAAGTGCTCTTAACCACTGGACTAACTCTCCAGCCCTGAACTGTACTATTGAAAAAGTTCATTATGCTAAATTAAGGGGATCCAGGACACAGAAGCCAGACCAGGAATTCAGCAGTGCTTCTGTATCTTCCAGCCACAGGAATGCACACATACTGAGGGATCTGCAGCGGTGCAGATAAAGTACATTTATGGTACAGGTATCCATGGAAGGAAAGTGGATCAGTATGTCAGAGACACTGTCTTGGCCAGTGGTCTCAGGACCTGTTGGTGGTCGAATGACCCTCTAACTAATAATGCTACGGTTGGGGGTCACCACAACATAAGGAATACTATTAAAGGGTTGCTGCATTAGGAAAGTTGAGAAGCGCTGCTCCAGGCTAAGAAGAAACTGTAGCAAAGTAGTGTTCTTTTTCTCCTATCTCTCTACCTTCAAAATTATTAATAATCATTCTAGTTGTATCAGACTAATTTAATTCCACACAAATACAAATCTATTTAAACAATTATGTTCTACCTATTATAGCTTTTCACACCCTCGTAAATTCTATGCGTTTAAAACCCAGTCTGCTCCAAGTATTAATCATAACAATAAAAAAAAAATCAACATTTCACCGATTCAAATTTTTTATTTGTCTACCACCTCAAATTGCTAAGGATTTCCACTATCCTGTTATACCAAGTATAAGGTATGTTTCAGGAGTCCTCTTCTAGCCTTGGAATTACAGGTGCATTCCCCTGCTTCTGCGACTCATCTCTGTGTACACACGTTCAAGGACCAGAAGCAGCCAACATTTGCAAGCCTTAGCCCAGTAAGGGAAACAGCATCAGGGAAGACACTCAACCTGCATGGGGCTTTTTGTACTAGGGTGAGAAGAAAGTAGAAAAACAGGTCTCTGGAGGACCCTATGAGCTTGGACACAAGGCTACACCACACCCAAATAGCATTTTAGAACTTAAGAAATGGACTTAGCTCCCCATGGTTCAGTGGGAAGGAATCCCTAACAAGCCCTCAGCCGTGGCCAGGAGGCTTGTTCGCTAAGTACTGCTCACCTTGACCACTGTGATTTAGCTCCTCCTGAACCTGGCGCCACTTGCACACAGAGCCCACGCCCTGCTTCCCACATCAACCCCACAGGCAGGGTAACACCCAGCAGAGCAGGTGCTCAGCAGGTCACTGGGAGGAAACAGCACCTCAGAGGCAGGAGCTGAGGAGGAGCCTACTAGCATCCAGTGTCTTCAGGCTTTGATTAAAACCATGGTTACCGTCTCTTTCTCTGAACTCCCCACAACAAGAAACACTTACTGAAATTAATTACGTTAGGCCGCATATGGAGGGGAAAAAAAAACATTCAAGGAAAAAAACCTCAACCACCCCCAATGTGCGAAGACACACTGGTACATGTCATATAATTAAGTGTGGGAAGAGGCCTGTTTCCCCATCATTTCCAGATAGTCTGTAATCCCATGCTGTCCCAGGCTAGATTCACTCTGCCAAAGCCGGGAAAAGCTCGCAGGGCAGATCCACCCTCTCAGGATGACATGCCAGCCAGAGCGTCCACGCACCCACTTCTATGCCCCTATGAAACCTTCTAAGAGCGCAGGTATGCTGTTCCCTCAGAACCGCTTGCCTTCATATCGTCAACACCTGTACCAGATTCCCTTCCGAATTAAACACAACCATTTACCTTTCATTTCTGCACATGTAAGTGTGGGGCCATAAAAGACTGGTAATTCTCAATAGCATTCAGCCGCACATACACTTTTGTGTGTATGTCAGACACACAAAACAATATAAGCCTCATTTCCTGGTTAATAACTCCCTATATGCTCTTAGGATCCAAGATTTGATATTTGCAACGGGTACAATTACGCTACTGGATTTTAATAACACATCCCCAAGACAAACATTTAAAAAAAACAAACAAGGTGGAAGGAGCATAAATATTACCAAAATGATCTGCTTAAAAAAAAAAAAAAGGCATTAGATGGCAAACTCAAAAAGGAAATTAAAAAAGTCAATGTGAAAATTGAAGGTTTAATTTTCCAGTCCTTAAAATCGTGGTAGCTTTGTTACCCGAGAACTTACCAGTTATTGATCTAAGGGGAATTCCTAAAATTCTCTACAGAATTCTCATCTCAAAACGAGAGCCATTAATGGTTACGGCTGGAAGTACACGTAAAAAGTATTTAGCACTTCAAATCTCCAAGCTGAGATTTTGTCTGTTTTGAGACAGGATGTCTGTACACAGTTCTTGCTGTCCCGGAACTCACTGTGTTGGACCAGGCTGGCCTCAAACTCACAGAGATCCGTCCTCTCCCAAGGGCTGGAATTCTGGGCGAGCGACAGTTTTCTTAGCTGTCTGTTCAGACCCTGCCTACCCCATTCCACCCCAAATCAGAGTTTCCAGGAAGCTTTTTCCATAGGCGCAACTGTTTCCCATACCCCGACAAACTTCATTGTCAAGTCCTGTCCGTCCAACGTCATTAAAAACATTCCCTGGCGGTTCAGACCCAGATCCCGAGGAAGGTAACCAAGAGCTTACCTACGGATTTCTTCATATGTCACCGACCTCGGGTGGGTGCCGGGGCAACGGTTCTCACTTTGCCCGTCACCCGGTTATTTGAGGTCAAGGCTAAACACAGCCGAAATCCCTCTGCCCTACATTTCTACGCAAGACAAGAAACCGGAGTGTAGCTTTGGCGTGAACGGTCCCCGCAGGAAAGTTCAGTAAACCATGAAGATGGACGGAAAACGAAGAAAGCAAGACCTGCTCCATCCCTCTAGCCTGCAAAGCTCAGAGGTCGGATCCCGCTTAGGGTGGTGCCCCGGGGCACCGTACCGGGGGGTGGCCTAGGTTCTCCACCTCACGGTTTTCCTGGGGGAGCTGGTATAACGGACCGGGAGTTTCCGCGGGTGCAGCCCGACCTCATGACCGGAGAAGGTTCCGTCCGGGAGGGAATGGCCCGGCTCTGCGGGCCGGACACCCGCGGAATGGCCACGGAAAGCCCTGCCTGGCCCCGGGGTAGGGTCCGAGGCTCCACGGGGAACGGGGCCCCGGCCGCCCCAGGCCCACCCGCCCCGGCCCGGCGTACCCACGGTGGACTTGCAGGCCTCGCAGAACGTGTCGTCGGTGAAGCGCTCCATCAGGCTGGTCTTGCCCACGCCGCGGGAGCCGATGATGATGACCTGCAGCTTGAAGTCGGCCGGCCTGGGGGGCTGCTTCCTCCGGCGGGCCTGGCCGCCCGACAGCGCCGGGGAGACCGCGCCCAGGCCGCCGCCCGCGGGCCGCCGGTGCAGCGCGGCGCCCGGATCCATGCACGCATACGGCTCGCGCTCGGGCCGCCGTCCGCGCGCCCCGGGCCCCCGCGCCCCCTCCACGCGCTCCGCGCCGCCGCCGCCGCCGCCGCCTCCGGGAGACGAAGAAGGGAAGCAGCTCCTCCGAAGCAGCGGCAGCAGCATCCCGGACCGGGAGGGGCAGGAAGCGCAGGCGCGGCGCGGCGCGGAGCGGGACCGGAGCGCGACCCCTGCCGGCCGGAGGACCGCGCCGCACGCGCCGCTCCGCAGCGGGGCGTCGCTCTCAATCTCCCCGTGGCCGCTCGGCTCTGCCTACTCCGCTCATTTCCACTCGTGGTTTACTCTCGCCGGGCGCAGGTCTCAAGAACCACCCGATTTCATTAGCGGCCCGTCCCGGGAACCTATCTCGAAGTGGGTAGCCTGTGATCACCGTCCGGACCTCCAGGGGTTGTGGGTGCCGGGGGTCCCGGGCCTGGCCCACGCGGGGTTCGGGAGTGAAAGCGCTACTTTGGAGGAAGCCCACGCACCCTGGCAGGGCCGTGGCTCTGTGTGCGTTTTTTTCTGTGCGGGGCCCCAAGGAAGCAGCTAACCTAACTGGGTTGCTGTCTTCCTCAGTTACAGTCCCTTAAATTGAGTAAATCGCACGCACGTTAGGGGAACCCAGTAGGTAAAACTCAGGTGACAAGTTTTAGGTGTTGACGTAGGTGGGTTATTTTGCCGTTTCTACTTGAAAGCATTTAAGGCTTCAGAGGCTTGCCAGGGATTTATTTAGCAAATTCCTCTGTGTGAACTTGAGCACCTCAGAACACTGGGTTCTAAACATGATAGGAGCTGGCACGCTTGCTAAGGATGATCACACCACCCACCAAATTCCAGCCGTAGTTAGAACTCGGTTTACTAATACATAGCACACGCGTCTGTTTCTCTATGGAAGCAAAGCTGAAGAAGTCACATTATTTTGACAAAGTAATCACGATTAGATTTTAAAAAATTCTTTTGTAGGCCATCGTAGACCATCTTTCTTTTTTCTTGGAGGTGCTGGGGTTGGAACTCAGAGGCTCACGTAGGAATGGAGAGACTCTTTTCATCTATCATTTCTGAAGCAAATCGATAGGCCACACAGCCTGTTGCAAATCACAAAGGACGATCTAAATGCAAGGAATTAAACTGATTCCCAACAAGCAGCCGCCTGTGCCATGGCTTGTGGGGCTGGAAACCCCAGTATCCAAAACAGTATCTCTTCCCCATAAAGCAGGTCTGTAATTTACTGGAATAGTGAGAGGCTTAAATGGGGGAGGTTTGGAAAGAACGCATCGGGGCTCAGGTCTCATGTGTGTTTGCCGCTGTAATCCAGTTATCAAGGTCACTCCAGGGGGTTCCAGCACCCACCAGAAAGTCGTATTACAGGATGAGTAGATGAATGGGTGAGTGAGTGAAATCATCACAGATAACCACATAATAAAGGTGGCCGGCTCTCTGTGCTCGCTCTTCAGCGCAGACTGTGGAATAAAGGGGTCTCTCATATCCCAGTCCGAGCAATTGCTCCCCACCATTCCGAGGGCCTCCATCGACATTACCTTAACACACAAGGGTCCTGATCCAGAAGAGTGAGAAACAGAACCTGGGGTTGCCGCTGCAGAAAAGATAGAAGCTGAAGAAGAAACGGGGAGAGGGTGCTACAGATTTGGGGTCCGCACTGCTCGGGAAGTCCAAGGGCGGTGTTTCACAAAGCCGGGAATGCTCAAAAGATTCTCAGGTTGCACTCTCTGTGCTTTGGGGGAACACTTCAAAATACATTTATATTAACAGACACATACAATTACACATGCCAACAGGGTACCGTGTGAGCTTTTGATGCACACATACTGTGATATTTAAGTCAGACTGAACATATCTCATTGGACATTTGTTACATCTTCATGGTGAAAACACTTCGTGGTGAAAGTCCTTTACTTTTGCTTTTTGAAATACATAGTAACCAACCGACTGTGCAATGACATGCGAGGGACTTGGGACTCTGGCCTACTATTAACATGGCTTCGCTCTCATTGAGCAACCTCTCTTGTCCTTCCTTTCCACTGCCCCGGCATTGTACTCTTAACCTGCTATGAGATGAAGGTTTTTTAGAATCCACGAGTGAGATTGTATGGTGCTTATCTTTATGTATCTGGTTTATTTCATTTAAGACAGCAATTCCCAATTTTGGATGCTACAGAGGACAGCATTTCAGTTTTTAATGGCAGAATGATACTCCATTGCAAGTACGAATCATACTTTCCTTCTCTGTTTGTCAGTTGATGGACACTTTGTTTCCTTTCCTTGGCTTCTGTGAACAGCACTGCAGTAAGCCCAGCAGCACAGATGTGTTCTTGACATGCTGATTATGTTTCTTCTGGTATTTATCAAGTGGTGTTATGAGTTACGATTTAAATGTCCCACAAAGGTCAGTGTTGATTAAAGGCTTGGTCCCCAGCTTGGTGCAATTGGGAGGTGATGGGAAAATTTAGTGGGTGAGACCTTGGCTGGGCGTGGAGGTGCACATCTTTAAGCTAGCAGTTAGGAGGCAGAGGCTGTCGGATCTCTGGAAGTTCAAGGCCAGCCTGTGTTACACAGTAAGAGCCTCTCTGGAAAAAAGAAAGAGATGAGGTGGTTAGGTCATCAAGGGCTTGAGTTCAAATAAAGATATTGGGATTCCCCACTCCTTTCACCATTTTCTTCATCATGGTCATCTCAGTACAGGCCCCAAACTTTGGGGCCTATTAACCGTGAAGGAACGCTCCAAAACTGTGAGCTAAACCAAAGTTTTCCTCCTGTAAATTGATGCTCTCAGCTATTTTACAGTGACAGAAAGCGGACTGACGCAGGGATTGCTGGGTCATGTGGCAGCAACTTTATCTTGCTATTTCTTTGATTGGTAAAAAGTACTCTTTTTCTTAAGTTGGATCAGCTTCCAACATTTTATCCTTTGTGCTTTCTATGTTTTGAAGTAGCTTCCAAAGTTCACTGGATGGTAAGTGCCTGGCTGGCACCATTCCCTCTGAGCCATCTGTACTCTTTTTATTCGGAGGCCTTTCTCTTTTCATGAAGTAGGCTTGCCACCAAGGACTTTCTCTGGCTGCACACCAGGAGCTTTTGACCCGGGGTGAGGACACTGTGTGCAATCAGCTGTTGCTCCTGCGACTCTACTCCAGGTGGATCGATAACTCACATGCTGATGTGAGTTATCATCAAGAATTTGTTTCTTGGCCGCATGTGTGTTTTTGTTAGATACTTATTTCTTTCACTTAACCACTTCTGTCAAATGGCTGATGTGCGTTGCCCTGGGAGACAACCTTCGCTGTCTGTGTGTGGACTGAGTAATATACATGGTGCACTCATTTGAATGAGAAGTGCCCCCACAGGCTCATGTGTTTGGACACTTGGTCCCCAGCTGGTGGTGCTGTTTCCGAACATTATTGAACCTTTAGGAGGTGGAGCCTTGCAGGAGGAAGTGGATCACTGGGGACTTTGAGAGTTTACAGCCTTGCCCCACTTCCTGAGTGTAGTCCACTGTGCTTTCTGCCTCCTGTTTGTGACTGAAGATGTGATCTCTCACCTTCCTGCTGCCATGCCCCCCTCACAATGCTGACTCTCCAGATAAACTCTTCCATAAGTTGCTTTCGAACAGAAACACAACACTGGAGTGACTGGTGTCATCCTAACAAATTTGACTCCAGTTTTTAATACTGACTGACATTCTTTGAGTCTCACTCCTCCCTTCCAAGCCTGCATCTAGGTGAGATGACTGGAGGCCCAGGTGCTCCCTTCCTGAGATGCTGGGGAAAGAGTCAAACCACCTAAGCCTCTCTTTCGGCACCCTCTCTCCACCCACCGCGTGGGCACAGTCGCTTTCCGGCTTCCCTCCTTCCCAGGTTCTCAGGCTTTTTTTCAGCCCAGCTTGCGAGGACTCCCCTGCTCTCTTCCAGAAAGCCTTAATTATGTAAACAACAAGCGGTGTGACTAACAGGCACACCCTCTTGGAGCAATCACAGCCTCACCGTTCTTGGCATCCAAACCCCGTATCAATGGACATCCATGCTGTCTTTTTCCTGGAGAGCACCCAACAGAAAGGAATGGTCACAGGCTTACGATGAACGTGTTCTTACTTTCTATGGTAGGTGAACTTATCACCAGTGAGCTGTGGGGCTGGAGAGATGGCTCAGCGATGAAGAACACTTGCTGCTCTTCCAGAGATCCTGAGTTCAATTCCCAGCAACCACGCAGTGGCTCACAACCACTGTGATTCAATGCCCTCTGTGGTGCTCAGGAAGACAGCGTACTCATCTACATTAAAAGCAAACAAATAAATCTTTTTAAACAGTTGGCTGTGAATTGATACTTTCTGTAATTACTCACATAAGTATTCCATGGTTGCCGAAAACAGAACTTTTGATAACTGGCCTTTAACTAAATGTGACACAGGAAATTTTCCTTATCAGAGCCATAGGAGGAGGGCCCACTGTATTATAAAGCACTAAATACAACAAGAGTGGGCATCGGAGAGCTCTGGGTTGAGTAACACTTGCAGAGTGAAGGCAGACAGAGACAGGCAAAGCGGCGTCCTATTATACACACCACTGTACTGTTCTGATTATAACATAACCGCCTTGTTCTCCCCTAGGAGAGCACGTCTGAGTGCCAGTGAGTGGCTGCAGGAATCGCCGCTGCTTTATCCACTCAGCAGCGCACGCTTATTCCTCTTATTCACCTCTGACAGAATTTTGACTTTTGTTCAGTTCCCCACGCTGCTCTGTGAAGTCATGGGCTTCAGGTACGGCTTGCTCAAGGCTGGAAACCAGGGGACCGAATGTTAATTTTCTTAGTCAATCATTGTGGATTCTAACCCCCCCTTGTCAGCCAGCAGCTTAGGGAGTGGCGTATGATCACGGAGAAGAAGCTGATGAAATCGTTAGAAGGACAGAGTAAAGTGTAGTTGTGAGAATTAAAAAAAAAATAGCTGAACCTTTGTGTGGAAAGCTTACGGCTGCCTCTGCCATCCTCCATCTTTACAAGGGCTGCCTGCTGCACAGCAGATGGCAGAGGGGAGAGAGTGGGCCTTTGGGGTGGCTGGCGTCACTGAATTAACTCGTCGTGGAGACTTCCTCTCTAGGGAGATTTTCACCACA